ACCCCCCCCCCCCCCCCCAATCCGTTAACACAAAAAACCGCTTCGTTAAATCGCCCCTCCAAATATAAGCCATCCGGGGCTTCTATTTGGAAAATTGCCCTCAAATACAAAGTAAAACAAAGCAAAAACGGTAAATTTACTTCCAACTATAAGGCTAGCCCAAGCGATTTTGAAACGCCGATTTTCCTCCGTAGATAAGCCCCTCCAAAAATAAGCCCCTCAAAAAGGGCCTTTGAAAAATATAAGCCCCGGGGCTTATTTTCGGAATTTTACGGTATTCTGATGGATCCCATAGCTATTGATGAGCCTCTCTATATGGTCAATTCTGACGAAATCGAAGTTGCGATGATAGCTTTTGATGAAGCGACGATCGCATTGCTATCCGTTCAATTTTAATTTAACAACAATCATTGTGCGATTCGCCCCAGTAAGAAAATCCAAGAATTAATACGCTCTCGGATTCTGGATTCCACGTCGTAGATTCCGAATTCCAGGTCCAGGATTCCTGACTTTTGTCATTAAAAATTAAATTTCCGATTCCCATCATTTGCGGCATTCCGGATTCCTCAAGTTGTATTCCGGATTTCAAAACCCAGGATTTCGGATTCCTAGCAAAATTTCCTGGATTTCGGAATCCGGATTCCCTAAATGGGAAGAGTGCAATGATGGCGAAGGAAGCTGCCAAAAATTATGCTGCACGTTCAGAGTTTTTGCTTTGCTTAATAAACCTGTTGTGTTTTTTTTTTTTTTATTTTCTCGTTTTCGAATTCCTTCGTCGTCGTCGTAGTTGTGCTCGAACTCTTTAGTAACGTTACCACGCAAAACAATTCTTGATATATGCGACGATTTCCTCAAAAAACAGAAGATCTGATGGAAAACGCCCGACGAAATCGACGTGGCGCAGGTACCCATAGAGAGGTTCACGATTGCTACAAATTCTACAAGGTCAAAAGATTCTTCATTTTTGCGCTCTAATACAGGCATGAGAAATACCAACGAAAAAATATTCATGTCGCTCGAAAATTTCCGTGCAAATACAGAACTTAGAATGTTTACTTTTAGTGTATTATCACTAATTTACCACAATCCCTTCTAAATGCCATCTAATGTAGTCAAAAGCCAAAAAAGGAAGGCAATTTCCACGTTTTTCATAAAATTTTATCTATGGTTGACAACCAACAAAGTTTTAATCGCTTAATAAATATCGGTTATTAGAATTAACAACAGGTGAATCACGACAAAATAAGATAGAGCAGCTTATTGCATTTAATGATAGGAGCCTGAAGTCTCCAGAAAAATTCTCTTTCGTCGAGTTTAGCTTCACTTTTATTTAAATGTGAAGAAGAACGAAATTGAAAACCGACCCTTCCAATTGGTCTAAATGCTTCTGCTGTCCTACAGTCAACTTAGCAATCATAAATTGACGTATTGATTACCTTTATCATCTTCGTCAGATAAGGCACAAACGTTACCAGATGTTTATAAAATAACCAAGCTTCTTTGACATAAACTTCAACGCCCAGCTAAAGTTCCGGACCGATAACAAAATGGAAACTTGGTTTTGGATTCTTGGTTGGATTCTGTCCATTCTGACGATAGCTGGAAATGGTTTCACCATGCCTCTTGTGGGCGGCCAGCGTCGGCTTCGCACCAAAACCAACGCGTTCATCGTTTCGCTTCTTCTGTGACATCAGAGGTGGCTGCAATTGGCCTCGACCCTATGCGTCCTGGGCGGATTTTATAAGGTGGCTCTTTCAGTACGCCTCTATAATGAACCTGTGCAGCCTCGTACTAGATCGGTATATGGCTATTGTAAAGCCACTGAAATACGTCAACTTCATGACCACGCGACGTATCACTAAATTAATATTTTTTTCTTGGGTTATCCCATTTTGCTTTGCAATTTTTTCTGTTTTTATGAGTTTATATTTAACATTTTCGTTATGTAGGATAGTCTTAAGCGTATGTTGCGCGCTTCTTGAGATTTCCTTCAGCTGCATGTTAATTTTCTGTTTTATTTCCATGGCAACAGTTGTGTACAAGCAAACGCGATCATCAGCCATCTTGGCAAAACAGTTACGTTTCAACCACCAAGGTTTGACTTTCAACACTCATGACAAATCAGCAGTTGTAATGTTGGCAGTTGTGGTGGTCTTCGCCCTGGCTTGTTTCGCAACTTACTTGCGCTGTAGCCTTAAGTTATTAGGAAATCATACAAATCTACACCTTTCGTGTAAAAGTGTCGTTAAATTTAGAATACCTATGTTAGTTCTGAACTCTGCAATAAACCCTTTGGCATACGCCTTTTTCAAGCATGACATTAAGAGAGCCTTAAAAGGGAAAAAACGCTTCCTTATGAGGTTGGTCGATTTAAATTCATGAATAATTAGGGCTAGGAAACAAAGATGCTTATCATTTTAGCCCTTATTTAATTTTGACCTGTAACATGTATGCTCCAAATAAACTTAGTGAACGTGTAGGAGACATCATTATTTACAAAAATTGTTTTAGTTATTCAAATTTGCAACGGGAGAAACAGAAGAACCAATGCGTTTCTGGTTGCTCGCGTTGTAGCCGGCCCACGTATCTCTAAACCATTGGTATAATATGCATGGAGGCGGTTAAGAGTGTCTGCGGCGCGAGCTAGCTTCTGGTTGGAACCGAACTATCAAAAGATGACGTCAGCATGAGTTTCACTGTTTACTCCAAGTGTTGTGATGTAAACTATAGGCATTTTTGTAAGGAATTCCCGTTCGTCAATATTACTTTATTTTTCCTCGACCTCCGGTTGATAAAGGTTTTAACAACTCCTCTTCAGAGTAAAATTCACCTGTCTCGAGTGTTTTGATTGATGGCTGATTATAAGACAATTTTAAATAACCATGCATCGACGAGACAATACTCATTAAAAATTAATTAATATCGTACATTTTCATTTAAGATTGTTACCTTGCCTGATCAACATTTTTGGATTAAGAAGTAGCAAAAACACGAAATAGAAAAGTGAAAACAATACCATAGTTAGCTAAAGTTTTCATCTGTAATGTCAAATTTCAAAGCAAAACGTATCATTTGAAAAGATGTTTGAAAACCAAGGGCTAAGCCCCTGAAGCCTTGTACATGGCTACACAGTTTTAATCGCTTAATTAATATCGGTTATTAGAATTAACAACAGGTGTAGTCAAGACAAAACAAGACTCCGGAGCGGTTTGTGGCATTTAATAATGGGAGCCTGAAGTCTCCATAAAATTGTCTTTCGTTGAGTTAAGCTTGAGTTTTATTCAAATGTAAAGAACGAAACTGAAAACCGACCCTTCTAATTGGTCAAAATGCTTTTGCTGCCCCACAATCAACTTAGTGATCAAAAATTGACGTATCAGATATATCATGTTCGTCAGATATAAGGCGCAAATGTTACAATATAAAATAACCCAACCGGTTTCTTTCAAAGACATAAACTTCAACGCCCAGCTAAAGCTCTGTTCCGAATATAAAATGAGAACTTGGTTTTGGATTCTTGGTTGGATTCTGTCCATTTTGACGATAGCGGGAAATGGTTTCACCGTGCTTCTTGTAAGCAGTCGGCTTCGGCTTCGCACCAAAACCAACGCGCTCATCGTTTCACTTGCGGTGGCAGATTTCTGTGTTGGGGCGTTCGCTGTTCCTTCACTGTTCTTCTGTGAAATTAGAAGTGGCTGCAATTGGCCTCGACCCTATGCGTCCTGGATGGATTTTCTAAGGTGGCTCTTTGCGTACGCCTCTATAATGAACTTGTGCAGCTAAGCACTTGATCGGTATATGGTTTTTGTGAAGCCACTAAAATACGTCACCATCATGACTGCGCAATGTGTCAACTTACATCAATTTCTTCGGTTATCCCTCTTTGTCTTGTAATTGTTGCCGTTTTCATGGTTTTTTTTTATCTAACATTTTCTTCATGTAGAATAGTCTTAAGGGTATGCTCTGCGCTCCTCGAGATTTTCTTCAACTGCATGCTCTAGCTTGTTGCGCGATTTACTTGCGATGTGGGTTTGTTCAGATTTGGGGAAACCATACAACTCACCTTTCATGTAAAAATGACTTCAAATATAAAATACCAATGTTTGTTCTAAACTTGGCCATAAATCCTCTGGCTTACGCTTTATTCAAGCGTGACAGTAAACGGGCATTAAAAGGACATTAACTTGCCTCTTAGGTTGCTCGATAATGTACATGTATACTCTGCAGCGTTTCCGATAATGCGATCCAGGGTGGATAAAGGTTGGGCGGTGAAACGAGCGCTCCGGTCTTCATTCAATGTGTGATGCGGAGTAGGACTGGCACGAGCGCTCTTTCCGCGCTTCCAGTATGCTTGAAGGCCGGCGAAGTTTTCCTTTTGGGAAACCGGAAATCCTTTTTTCTTTCTGTGATTTTAGGTTACAATGTTAAATACATAAATTTGTTTCATAACAATATTAATGAACAGTTTCATATGTTAATGTTTGTATGCCTAAAAGTCAAACTTGTTGGTCGTGTAATGCCAAAATTTAAAGTGTTGAGTGCCTTCTCCTTCCGCTAAATATGACCTAATCGTCTTTCGCCGTTTCGTTTGCAAAAGCTTAACACTTCTTAACCGTAATTTTTACATATGTTAAAGAGGGATAAATTTTACATAACATAACAAAAAATTAGCTTGATATATTTTGATATAGTGGCGTTGTACTACTTCAAACATTGGTTCTCGGGAGCAATGCGCTAAGGCGATTCGCGCAATGCGTCGCAAATCCGACAACCGCATGTAAACAAAATTTATTGAGGTTAATTGTAAGGTTTTTTTCTCCGTTTTTCTCTCTAAAACAAAACAAAGTAAACAGTTAACACTGAGGGGAAACTAATTTTGAAGTTCCGAAGAAACACAAAGACGTACGAGATGTTTTTTTCAAAATTAAAAAGAAGGATGATGGTGATTGAAATAGCCCTTTTTACAGTTACAGTTGGAAACGAGGCAAGAGTTGACCTTATTTTTGACACAACCGTTCTTGCTTTATTATGCAAAACTTGTTGTTGTTATGCTAACTAGTATTTTTAAGCAAAATTTCAATTAGAAAAGGAAGGAGGCTTATATCAAAACAAGGTCAACCTCAGCCTCACGTTCACTCAAAGGCTAGGACACCAAGCCCACAACTGTAAAATGGCCTATTAGCATAATTACACTTTGCACGAGCTGCACGCATTTATAAAATACATGCGTCATCTAGTTATGAAAAACCATCTGCTGTCTTTTAGTTTTGCCTGGATGATATGGATGAGATTTTCCTTCGTGTTTTAGACAGTATTTAGTTGTTTTTGTTTTGGAAAAACATCGGCATTGGCGTAATATAACGAAAATGTAATTCAGTGGCGGAGTCATCGAAGTAACCAGAGAAACCATTTGAAAGGGATGTTTGTTTACTCCAACTAAACCTCGCGCAAAAAATTAGCAACATTTGCCTCTTGGAGACAGCGTACCAGAAAAAAGGAACGAGGAGGAAAAGTGTAAGAAAACAACTCAATTCTCAAGCCGCCATAATTCAGTGAAAGCGGCAGTGTCTAAAGGACAAACCACATCGCAAGCCCTGACCGAAGTCGAATTCTAAACAGAGTCCCAGTCCTCAGCATCACACCTTTTTGCTAGGACGCGCTCGTTTCACCGCCCAACCTTTATCCGCCCTGCGGTGATGATTTAAGGGCGGCGTTTTTTGAAAATGACATTTCTTGAATAAATGATAAAAATTACCATAAATCATCTGTAAATAATATGTAAAACAGAAGGACGTTTTCAGTTTAAGGTTCCAAAATGTCTAGATGGAACTATAGGTATATATGTGCCGCCGCAAAGGGTATTGGTTTTTGGACCTTTTTGGACGTCTGAAAAAGGGTTCTATACACTTTAACCATTTTGGTCTGGAATCGGGTATGGTTTTCGAGGGAACTACGGAAGCGTATGAACGTATTTATCGTTTCAATTCCAAATGAATAAGAACGTATTAGAAATATGGAAATTCGAAGTACATTTGAAGAATGTTTTTGTTTGCCCTCTAATCTAAGTAATGATGACAAAATTTTTGCCTTACGGCCAGGTCTGAAAACGGGTATGTATTTTAGAGGTCTGGTCTGAAAACTGGTGTGAAAAATGACATTTCTTGATCTGAAATAGGGTCAGGATTTGGACAACCGGGCGGCACGCTCCCCCCAAGAATTTCCAGGAGTACCCCCCCTCCCCGGGTTTCATCTAGACATTTCGGTCCGTGTGCTTACCAAGCAGAGACGAAATTTAAAAAAATGGCTGCAACAATGACAAACATGCAATTTTTGCCCATCTGCAGTCCTTAGTAGCGTTGATTAATAACTATCTTTCACCGGAAACTGTAGACTGAATATACCCTGTAGAATATTTATTGTTTTATTAAATGTATGCCATCCAATGACGTCTGAAGCCAAAAAAGGAAGGGAATTTCCACAATTTGCTTATTAAACGTTTATTTCTTTGTTGACATCCAACAAAGTTTAATTCGCTCTTTCTTTTATTTTTTTGATTACTATAATTAACATCGCTTTACAGATGAATCAAGCCAAAATAAGACAGAGCGACAGAGCGGCTTATTGCATTTAATAATAGGAGCCTTAAGTCTACAGAAAAATGTTGAGTTGTTTTTCGTTTATTGGTCTTAATGCTTTTGCTTTCGTGCAATTAACGTAGCAATAATAAATTGACGTACGATATATCATGTTCGTCACATTAGGGACAAACGTTACCAGATGTTTATAGAATAACCAAACCGGTTTCTTTCAAAGACATAAACGTGACCGCACAGCTAAAGTTCTGTGCCAATACAAAATGAGAACTTGGTTTTGGATTCTTGGCTGGATTCTGTCCATTCTGACGATGGCTGGAAATGGTTTCACCGTACTTCTTGTGGGCAGTCGGCGTCGGCTTCGCACCAAAACCAACGCGTTCATCGTTTCACTTGCGGTGGCGGATTTCTGTGTTGGGGCCTTCGCTTTTCCTTCACTGTTCTTCTGTCAGATCAGAGGTGGTTGCAATTGGCCTCGAACCTATGCGCCCTGGGTGGAATTTATAAGGTGGCTCTTTCAGTATGCCTCTATAATGAATCTGTGCAGCCTGGTACTAGATCGGTATATGGCTATTGTAAAGCCACTGAAATACTTCACCTTCATGACTGCGCGACGAGTAACCCAACTAACATTTATTTCTTGGGTGATTCCTCTTGGTTTTGCAATTTGTTCTGTTTTCATGAGTTTATATTTACCATTTTCGATATATGCGATAGCCTTGATCGTACACTTTACGATCCTCGAGATTTTCTCCATCTGCATGTTAAGTTTCTGTTTTATTTCCATGTTAACAGTTGTATACAAGCAAACTCGATCATCAGCCATCTTAGCAAAACAGTTACGTTTCAACCACCGATGTTTGACATTCAACGCATATGACAAATCAGCAGTTGTAATGTTGGCAGTTGTGGTAGGCTTCGCTCTAGCTTGTTACGCAATTTACTTGCGATGTACCTTTCTTCACATTAAAGTTGTAAGAAACCATACAACTCACCACCTTTCGTGTGAAAAGGAAGACTTTGCGTACAAAATACCTATGTCACTTCTGAACTCTGCAATAAACCCTTTGGCATACGCTTTCTTTAAGCGTGATATTAAAAGAGCCTTAAAAGGAAAATAG